GAGAGGTGGGGGTGGAAAACATTTTTCGAGTAAAATTTTTGCTATCAAACGGTGCAAAAGGTGGAATATATATATATATATATATCTGTGTGTGTGTGTGTGTGTATATTTCTTAGAAAATCATTTTTTCATCAAAATTTAATGTTCATTTGACTTTGTTTTATATGAAAATTGTCCATTAAAGTGTTTTTTATTTTTATTTTTTTTACTTTTGGTTATAAAATTTGTTCCAATTGTCAAAAAATAAAAATAAAAAAGCTAGAAACCAAATTCTCACCAAAATGGTGAGAATTGGTTTTTACCAAAAAGTAGGAAAGAGGGGCGCGTGGGATGAAACCAAGAAAATGATTTGACAAGAAAATATTGTCAATCAAACAATCATTTTTTGCAAAAGGTGGAATTTTATTTCCAATTCCATGGAAAATATGTAGTATCAAACAGGCCCTTAGAGCTCATTCGAGTTTATTGCAATGAAGAGAAGTCACGGGCCCCACAAAATATGGATATGTATATTCTCCACTCGTCCCTTTCTCGGTTTATACTTATTCCTTAAGTATAATAATCCTCATAGAACTACCTATAATCTTCTATGGGTTATTCCACATCTTGAAGTGGAGCGTTTCAAGATCCTAGTTTTTAAATTCCAAATTGAGAGATAATTTATTAGTAAGGTAAAAAAGGCCTTCTGCACATCTAGCACCAGTGGTCTAGTGGTAGAATAGTACCCTGCCACGGTACAGACCCGGGTTCGATTCCCGGCTGGTGCAATACAAAATTTTTGTATCATTTTTAACAGCACAGCTAAAACACCAAATTTTGCTCCGCAGCTTGGTCCTTCACTTCACTCTCCGCCACTGATTCTGGAATTTTTTATTATCCCTTCCTATAGTTTCTTAATTGTTAAAAATTACAGTGTCATCCCGTTCAATGTCTACTAAATGCAATAAAGCGTGTATTGAACACACGTTTTCTCCAAGAATTCCAGAGGTTTCACAAAAACGGATCAATTCACATGGGGCGGGTCACTAGAGTAGTCCAATAACAAAAGCCGAACAAATTGGGCTCAGAATTTCAGCAACCCATTTAGCTCAATAACTCACGGGGAGGAAGTTATAGGTGCACTGACCACATGATAGAAAGGGAAAATTACAAGGAAGTCGGTATTTAAAGTTTCAAATTAAAAAATCAGGTGGGGAAGTTTTTTAATCAAAACTGTATTTGACATTTTAAATATTATATAAATATTATATATACAAATTTCACACACAAACCTTAGAAATCAAATGCAACTCTCATCTCTCTCTTCCAGTCTCTTCCCGTCGCCTCTCTCCTTCCCGGTTCTTCCCGCCGCCGACGAAACCACGGCGGAGGGCGACGGTTCTCACTGCGACGCCTCCGAGCATCGCTTGCAGCACCGTTCTGTGCGGTGGTCGAATCGGCGGTGGCGCTCGTAACAGCTCTCGTCGGACTGGAACCCGCGGCGACAGCAGTGAGCGTGACACCAGCAGACGCAGTAGTGCTCACTGCTCGAAGCGACGCAGCAATATTAAATCACACAATACCTTGATTTTGCCAGAAATATGCTGTATAGTTTTGCACAGTTACAATCTGGGTTTTCCCCCCTTTGATCCAGATTTCTTGAAATAGCTCCGTCATGAAGGTTCATCCGGTCCCGATCACTCTGCATTACGACATAGCATTGGCTATCTCTCTGGCGAACGTCTGCAGGCAAAGGGAGCTCCGGCGACTGCCCCACATCTTCGCCAAGGTGCTGTATAGTTTTGTGTGTTGGTGGACAGTGGGTACGGCACAGCAGTAGCGTCGCCTCACTTTTCGTTTTTGATTCATCTATTGTGCAGTGGGTGTGGTGGTCGACCGTGTGGCTGGTTTTTGTGTGTGAGATGGCACAGGGGATGTGATCTGGTTGTGGTTGTTGCATATCAGATTCGAAAAAATTAATTGGCGGTTGTGGTTGTTGGCTGGGGCCGCGGTGGTGGAGTGGGACGAACCATGTAGCGGCTGCGGTGGTGGTGGATCTTGGTGATGGTGGTGTTTTGTGTGGTGAGTATATAACTGTGGTGGTGGATCTGGTGGTTTTGGAAATGATGGTGTTACTACTGGTTGTCGTGGCGTTTGGGTGATGACAGTTTTGTTGGTGGAGGCTCCGTGGAGTGGCGGCTTTCATTGGTGTTGTTGTGGTGGTGTTGTGGCGTTGGTGCTGTTGTGGTGGTGCCGAGGTGAGGGAGTCGCAAGTGGCGATAGTATGTGACCCACTATTTGGCGCATGTGACCAGAATTTGACTAAAAATATAATCTGTGACCAACCATTTTGTTATTCGTGACCTAAAAATTATATAATCTGTGACCTTGAAAAGAATCTGTGACCAATTAATTTTGAAATATGTGACCGTCACACCTATAAGATTTGATCTGCGACTAATTAATTTTGAAATATGTGACCGTGTGACCCATAAGATTTGATCTGTGACCAACGAAATAATTGTGACCTACAAAATTTTTGATCTGTGACCATAAAATAATCTGTGACGTATAAAAATTATTATCCGTAACTGAAAAATAATATGTGACTAACTTTATAAATCTGTGATCGGAATGGTTGCCGGAATAATTACCAGAATCGGAACAGTCGCCGGAACGATCGTCGGAACAGTCGTCGGAGAAGAGTGGCGGTCGGAATGGTTGCCGGAATAGTCCCCGGAGCGGTATGGGTGAATGGTGCAGGTGAGGGTGAGTTAATTATATTATATTACATTAAAAAAAACCTGATTTTTGAATTTTCAAACTATATACCTGATTTTTGAATTGGTGTAAAGTATACACCTTATTTTTTATTTTTTCCCTGATAGAAAGGCTCGAGAGAATCCATCAAAACATAGTTATTGACCCGGTCCAAGCAGACCAAAGCACTGGGTCACCTTCTATTTGAACTGCTGAGTCATCGGTTGTACTGTGGGATGATGGATTAATATTTATAAAATTTTCAAATAAAATTGTCCGGATGTTATATAGAACGTTACTTAATTAGTATCATTAATGATTACATATCGCCCACATTTGGTTCGGATTAAAATCTGATTTGAATTCAAGTCAAAGTCAAACAATCAATATCAACCACATCTTTTATGGGTCCTACAACTTTTCAATCACACATTTCAAAAACTTCTATTACAATCTACTAAAAAACTAATTTTAATCCCCATCAAACACTCTCGATTCTTATTATATATGTTGCGATTTTCAGCTGTAAATGAGATATGAATTCCAATAATGTGAGATAAGATAAATCCAACATCATTTCGTTTTGAAAAGGTCCATTTGGCAAAAGTGAGATTAGTGATAGAGATAAATCGTAGCCATTGAGATTTAAATTATACAGCGTGGTGCAAATTGGGGAGCTACATACACCATGTGCTTATCTACTTGCGGTCATCTGCCTATTCAAATCCATTATCCAGCGTCCTTTCCTTTTCACAATATTCGAAGATAAAGCAAATCTTAGACATGGAAAATTCTTCCTCAAGAGTTGAGTACTTTTCTCTTTGAGTTATGTTGGTGGCCAATCTTTGAAAGATCGCCTCGTACAGAGTGTGAACTCGTTTCAGAATGATTAAATAAACTTATTTATTAGAAGTCCTTGCTTGTGAGATGAGGTCGGACCATATGTCTCAGTTAGTCGAATGGCTAAGGCTGTCAGTCATGAGAAAATTCCATCATGAGTGTATTGGAGAAATGTTCTCCAATGCCATTTACACCGTTCATTAAAACAATCAAAGATAAGGAGGTGTAAACGTTGACGTTAGCGCAACCATGCTCACTAATTAGGAGAAAGCAACAATTATCTATATTGTAGGCAATGATAACCTAAACAACATGCTTAGGCATCATAATGGTCTAATATACCTGAACTTCTCAATCAATGAAATTCATTCGAGCGAGGTACGACACACAACTCGATGGAAAAGATTAGAATATTTATATATTGGATAAAGAAAAAGTTAATTTTCTTTTGATAGGACAGTTAGCCCTTAAAAAATGGTTGAAAAGATTTATGGTATTGATGATTTATAATGAAGGTATTAGTGGCCTTCTTTCCCATCAAAAAAACATATAGGATTCGACGGCGGGCGAATACTCCATGTGGCCTAATAAAGCACGTAGCAACTCCCAGTGGTTGGTCTCATTCACACAGTTTTCATTAAAATAATATTATACGTAAATTAAAAAAAAAATTAACCACATATTCTTCATGAATCTACTATTTCAAAATACATTTTTCAAAAAGAATATACCTCAAACATCTCCCTCCTTATATTGGATGCTTAAATTTAATAAATTCCTAATAGATTTCATGTCAAATTTATATTTGAAGGGAAATTACGTGTAGCCCCTGTTTGGTGTGAATTAAAATAAATTTTTTAATAAATTTTAATAAAAATTAAAGAAATGTTTCCTTGGGTAAATGTTTTTTACTTTTTTCAGATATGAAGGATTAGGAGTGTGTTTGGTAGGAATTTTTAGGGGGAAAATTGATTTTTGAATAGTGATATGATGGGAAATGCGTGGTTGAAAAAGAAGAAAAAAGTATTGATGTGATGGAAAATGTTATTTTATTGAAGAATGTGTGGTTGAAAATGAGAGATAAATTGATTTTTGAAAAGTGATAGGATGGGAAATGTGTGGTTGAAAAAGAAGAAAAAAATATTGATGTGATAGAAAATATTATTTTATTGAAAAATGTGTGGTTGAAAATGAGAATTGATTTACTGTAGAAAATGAAAATTTATACCAAACAGACCCTAGAATATTTATGTATTGGATAAAGAAAAAGTTAATTTTTATTATTATTTTTTATTTTGATTGGACAGTTAGCCCATAAAAAATGGTTGAAAAGATTTATGGTACTAAAAAGTAATGAAGATATTAGTGACCTTCTTTCCCATCTAAAAAGCACGCGGCGACTCCCAGTGGTTGATCTCATCCTGATCCACATTATTTTGGAATAATAGATTGATGGAGAATGTGTGGTTGAAAATGAAGGAAAAGTTATTGATGTGATGAAAATTATTATTTTATCGAAAGATGTGTGGTTGAAAATGAGTAGAAGAATGAAAATGAAAATTTTAATATGTACCAAACATGGGCTAAATTTAAAAAAAAAAAAATTAATTCACGTGAAAATTTTAATAAACAAAAATTTGTTTGAAAAGTGTTTATAAATTATGTAAATTATTTTTAAAAAAATTTGGTATTTATATTTTTGGATCTTAAAAAAATACGTGGGTAAGTAAAATGGTTTAGTCGATTATATACAATTTATTAATATTAGCAAAATATACTCAAATCGTAACTTTTTAAGTATTTATAAATTGTAAGTCCAATAAAATATTTAGATAATAAATTAATAATAACTTGTGTCTCTTATGAAATATTTGATTAAAAGGTAACTTTAACATGTTTATATTATAATTTAAGTCGTCCCAAACATGTTGGGTGTAAAACTTGAATTTTTTTTTTCTTGTGTTTCTATTTTAAAACAATATGGGGAACTTATTTATTCGATAAATTTTTTTCATATAAATGCCCTATTTGTTTGGTGGGGCTTTTACTTATTGCAGAAGAATTTCTTGAAAAAAGTACATTATGCCAACTTTCTTTAAAAACTCTGTTAACTTGAAAAAAAAAAAAAAACACTTTTAGATAATTATCCTAATATGTTCAAAAGTGTTAGTACATGTGAGAATTCTTAATTGGTTAGTTGTAAATAACTCTAGGGCTATGGAACCCAGAATCAAATCTTCATTATCTAACTGAATCCAGAACATACTATTGGGAAGCGATTCAGTAATTAAACTTTCATGAACCATTTTTGTTCTTTCATTCCAGGTAAAGCCTCCTTGAAGTATCAACTATCTCAGAGCCTCGAAGGAAAGAGCTTTCTATACTTTGATGAAAAAATTTCGATTTTTATTCTGTCAAACGAACCATTTAAACTCATTGTGTTTTATAATATCAATTATTGCCTAACTAAAGAATGAGATGTATACCAGAAGAACGAAAAAAATAAGGATGACGAAAGTGATGCGTGTTCGAATAACACAATTTCAATCAAACAAGTTAGAGAATAGAAAGAATAATCAAACATTATCACGTTTCAATTGTTTTTAAATCTTCCTCATAATAAGTCAAACGTAAGAAAAAGAAATGTTCTTAACCACACTATAATCATTGAAAGGAACATCCAAGCGAAGTGTAAGTGCTTTAAACCCTATCCAAATCTTTGAATTTTCAAAAATTCTGATTTGAATTTGTACATTGGTAAGTATCTCTTTGCGTAACGCATAGTAAAAGTATATGCAGAAAAAGCACATACTTCAAAGACTAAAACTATCCTTTATATTAACGTACCAGATTCAAACAATTACTTCCATTCAGACATTAACATCTGTCATACATTTTTCAAACCTTACTTTTTAATGACTTTAGTTGTCAAGACTCCTAATAAGATATTCAATAATATACTTTGTACTTTACATGGAAAAGTCGTGGAGTTTGGCAGTTCTTTTTAGGGATAGCAACGGGTCGGGATGGAACGGGTCGAGAAATTCTATTTAGGGTGTGTTTAATTGTAAGAATGGAAAATGGATGGAAAGAAAATATTTTACAGAGAAAAGATTTGCCTGGAAAAAATTTTGTAGGAAAAATAATTTCAAATGTGTTTGATTGATATAATTTTCCACTCGAAAAAATTTTTAAATTTTCTATTCGTTTGGCTTTATTTTATATGGAAATTATCCATTAAGGTGATATTTTTTTCACAATTGGTTATAAAATTTGTTTCCATTGTCAAAAAGTTAAAAAAAAAGGGAAAAAATTTGTTTCGTAAAAAGTTATTTTTTTATCAAAATTTAGTGTTCGTTTGACTTTATTTTACATAAAAATTGTCCATTAAAGTGAAATTTTTTTTACCATTGGGTATGACATTTCTTTCCATTGCTAAAAAAAAAAAAAGACACGTAAACTGGAAAATCATTTCCCCCAAAATCAATGCAAATTGGCGCGTGAGCCATCTTCGAAGAAAACAAAAGCCATGGAAATTTTGGCTTTCCAAACAAGTCAAATGCAAGGAAAATGAATTCTTTTTTCAAGTTCCAAGGAAAATGTGGCATATCAAACACACCCTTAGTGATAGCAACGACCTCGCCCGTTACCTGTTTAAGGCAAGACAAAATAGGACGGGGCCATTACCCAGTTTAATTTTATTTTTTTTTAATTTTTGATATTTTATTTTATTACCCCAATTCATTACACTAAAACAAATAATTTTAGTTACCATTTTCTATTAGAATTAAAGAAATTTCATTAAATTTTTCATTTAAAGTATTGAATTCTAATATTAAATCCCCACCCCGAGGCAAAATTCACCTCCCCGTTCCAAACCCGAATGCCTGATTAAGTGGATAATTCTCGTCTCGTTAGGAGTGGTGCCCTGTGGATATTGGGTCTATTGAATTTTTTAGTCGTCCCTAATCCTATTACTCTGGGTGTCAAAAGAGGCAGGCGGCTCGGCATGGAGTGATCGTGCCAAACCATACCCAACCAAATTTTATTTCATTTTCTTTAAATGCTTAAAAACATTACAAAACCCTTGCTACCTATTTTGATATCTCCTATATCGCTATAGTTGCCTATAATGCCGTAGGGTAAGTTCTAATTTAAATGAATGACTAAAATTGCATTGTTTTACGGACCCCAACTTGGGTCCATTTTCCTATTTAGCGAGACACTAAATATATTTCAACTTGGGCGTATAACGTATGAGCCGTGCGATATAGCGACGGCATTAAATGAAATATTATACGTGTCGATCTTGGTAGCATAAATTCATAAATGTAATGTGTGTCCTACCTCTCTAAGTAGGTAGTGTTCATAAATTCCATGTACTATATCTGAAGTATATTAATGTTAGATACAGAGAACAAGACCCACCCCTTTTGGTCCGACGTGATAATGAGATAAGGCATTGTTTAGAACGTTTTCAATTTTGACAAGATTTTATCTAATTTAGAGCATGTTTGGCTATGCTTAAATGCTAGAAAGTAAGCCAAGAATTAGGGATGACAAAAAAAATCGTTCAATCTGATACTTGTGGAGCCCCACCCCGAATGGGAAGTGGATTACCCGTCTAATAGGGTAAACATGATAGAAACGAGACGAGGGTCATTGCCCCGAAGTAGGTATGAGACGGGTATGGGAAACATAGTCCCCGCCCAACTACCCACCCCATTTAAAGTTAATTTCAAATTTATGTTTTTTATCAAACAAAAATAATAGATTTATCGTCATTTTTAAAGGGAACATAAGTTATTTTTAACAAATTAGTAAAAAAGTAATAATATTTATTAGCTAAATACATAAAAAAATAAAAGCAAAAAATAAAATAAATAAAAATAAATGGGGCATATGACTTGCCCCGCCCGTCCCGTCCCGCTTTAACCGGGTATGAGAATGGGATAAGGTAACAAAAATATTCGACGGGACGGGGATGGAAATGATCGATCCGTCCCATACCCGCCTCGTTGCCATCCCTACTAAGAACTGTTTTTTTTTTTTTCCAGCTTTTCTCTTATCTTCATGCATTGCCAGATTTTTTTCAAAGGCAATTCGACTAGATTAATGATAAATTGGTTTAAGTTTTGGAAAAGTAATGAATAGTGTTCCCTTCGTAATTTAAATTATAGATGGGACACAATAGCTTACGTGGTGTTAAAATGAATGGTGGGAAAGTACTAGAATAAGTCACATAATCAACTTAGGGTCGAAGTTCTGCTCCCTAAGTCGGTTTAACGATTATATAAAATAGTAGACAAGAATGTACAAGTATTTCCCAACTCCTTCAACTTGGATCCATCTTGATCAGGACTGTGTGGCCTTAATATACTATTTACATTACAAGACTGGTAGAATGTGTATTCAATGTAAAGGATTGTCATTTGATGTGAGAATAAATTAGTTGTCCTTACTAAGATTTTAGAACAAGGTTCGACTGATGGCATCTATAGAGTATAAGAAATGTGTGTGTTCCATTTTTACCATTGGGGAGTAGCGTCTTATATGGGCCATGCAATAAGCTTCCCGGAGATAAATGCTTAAGCGCTCTCACATGGGACGTGTTTCCTGATTTTCGATGATAGTAAAAGAGTATTTAAAGGTTAATATAATCAATCGTGAGCCCGCTAGGTGCTGTACACCAGGGTTGACACCCCGGGGTACAAATAGCATTTCCCTTACATTAAATCTACGGATATCAACGTTTAATGTAAAGACAATGATAAGACAATAAAGTGGTTATAATATCATGTCTTTATCAGAGAAATAGATTATAATGTGGGTTGAGGATGATCACACCAAATCTAGTGGTATCAACGTTTAAAGTGAAGACAATTATAAGACAATAAGTTACCATAATACGACGTCATTCGTCACAAAACTACATATTGGAGTGACAAGCATGAAATGTGATAATTTCATGTCTATATTGAAGTTGGAATAACAAATATTGATGTGGACATCCTAGCACTTCTCGACTTAAAATGTGATAATTTCAATAATTATGGCTTTGTTCGAATGAGTAATGCGATACGATCGTATTTAATCCAACTAAACTCCATGCATCAAGTCTCACAAGATTTCGTCAAGTTAAATTTTCAATTGATCCTGAATTTATTAGATCATAAATAAACTTACCTACCTAAAACTTCTTTTGCTTTCACTAATTTCCGTTCATAACTTAGTATAACTACAAATTTACTTGATTTACATGAATTATTTTATCCACCAAGTTTTTGGTGGCAATAAAAGTTACCCGCACAACAGACTGACGAAACAAAAAAGAAGAAACAGAGAAAATTAATTCACAGTAAGTATACTATATATATTGTGGGAGAGAACAAGCAGAGTTTCCTTTTGGGTTTGCTTTTTGATACAATAATTACATACATGTATACAGATATATACGATTAAGGGATCATTCACGTGGTTTGTCAAAACTAGTTTTGTTCTTTCACGCACCTTTTTCTGTTCAATTTCTCTTTTTCTTCCGAGGTTTCTGTTTGTTTCTGTGACAATTAATACGGCTGTTACATCTGCAGAGGGTTTCTTGACGGTGGACATTGTATATATATAGGGCCCTCCTTGAAACAAACTATCATTCAGTTTATTCAAGAATCAGATAGATTTGTGAGAGAGAATATTAAAAATGGAGGGTGGGAAGAAAACACAATCAGGATCTTCACTCACTTCTGATCTTTTTGGCTCAAAGAACTCTGCTTCTGGTTCATCTTCTGGGATTTTCGGGTCACTCTTAACGCCTCCTGATAAGGTACATGATTGATTAACGTTAATGGGCTCACTGCATTCTGTTGAAGTCTGTGAATGAATAGCTACCTGTTTCTGTTTCACAGATTAAACCATGTGCTGGGGTTTTGGTTTTTTCCAAGAATTAAGCGTTTGAGGTTTATTTGGAGGGTTTAAGAATTTTATGCGAATGAAATCCATCTTATTTGGTAAAAACCCTGAAAGGAAATAGGGGGCTTTACTCGATTAGAGTATTTCTTATTCAGGGGAATGGAATTAAATCAACATTAACAAACGTTGCCTTGAAAAGGAGATTCAATCCCTTTATGATCAAATTGTTTCGTTGATTCAGGTCCTGAGACAGGAGTACTCTCTGCGTTCATTCGAATCTTGGAAGAAAGATAGTGCTATAAATCAGGATTGGAGTGCCATGACTGGATTTCCAGGTGTGCAATTCTTGATGGAACTGCCTGAATGATTTTTGGTGATACAAGTTTTGAAAATCGAATTTGTGGTATCACTATTGCTTTTTATGTGCTTAATTTTGCAGTATATGTTAACTAACAGACTCTTGTACAGATAACAATGCTCTGGGCAATGAAGGCCAAAGCCAGAGCAGTCGAAGCAAGGACGGGAATTCATATTTTCAGGAGGAGAAAACCAAACCCTGTAATTATAGTTCATCGATATACTATGGTGGTCAAGACCTCTATACTTTCCCGGAGAGTACCAGAGGATCTAGCTTTACAACTGTTAGTACCCTTTACGCACTAAAGTCGGTCACCTTTAATTGTGCTTTTTCAATTATTTATCCAATCTTGAACATAATATATATCGTATTCTTCACCTATAATGATTATGGACTGCACTAGAAAATAAAAATAGAGGTGATTAATCCTTTAATGATCGTTTCAACAGAAAGTTTGATAGAAAATCCCACAATTAAATATATGAATATTGTAGTGCTAATGTTGGAATAATAGTCGTGAATAGCCATTTGTTTTCTTTACTGTTAATCAAATTTGAGAATGTGTTAAACATCTTTTTGCTTTATGATCAGATCAATAAATATGAGGCAGAGGATGACTCGGGCATGGCTTCGAGAGGGAACTGGTGGCAGGGTACGTTCATATGACTATTTAGAACAGTGCTACACGTACACGGCCACGTCGGCCCTATACGTGCCAGAGGGAAAGCTGTTAGATGTCCCCCTGGCACGTAGAGGGCCTTGTGGCTAAGATTAGCTTATATTAACACTTAATTTTCTTTCTTGGCAGGATCTCTTTATTACTAACTGGTTATCACCACCAGGGCATTTGAATTACCAAATACTTACCTAGGTATTTATCATCAAAGTTCTTGTGGAAATGCAGATCTTGAAAATACTTTCCCTTTTGAACTAAAAATCATGTATGTAAGATGAAATCTGGTCAAAGATTTATTGCTACATTTTCACACCATTTTGACAGCATTCCTTGAAATTCATTATCATATTGCTTGAAATTATGCTTTAATACCATCCTGAAAAAATTAAGATAATGTATAGCCACTCATGCCTGATGACTGATGAGGAGGTTATTTATTGTAATATCGGTAAGGAAACCGGGACAACTCTCGGAAAGATTATGTTTCCTTTAAATTCCAGATTAAAGTCGAACATAACGTATTGTTTCTATTTCGCTGCAGGGATACATAGATGTGGGCAGCAGCAGTTTTTCCCTGCTTCCTGGAATAATGGAAAAATAGATGGAAAATAGCAGCTAGCCTTGCATTTGTGATGTCGAAATATGGCAATAATGATAAGTAATTGTAATTAGTAACGTTTCACCCCGATTACTTTCTACCCAAATGTAAAGGTCGATAAACTTTGCGATTTTAGCCTTTGGCTGTAGAATGTATATATATTATGCTCGTCTATCTTTCATGTTTTGTGAGTTGGATTTATACAATGCTGCGTACCAAATATATCCCAATTATATTGTCCAAGAGTTTGGCCCATATTTTTTGCAGCACACAGATTCAAGATATCAAGAATGGGCAACTGTTGTTAGTATATATCACAGATAACAACAATTTTGACTATGGAACAAGGACCACTAATGTTCCTTTCTTGATAAGGTTTGAATGAACATGATTTTTGTTTGAATGTTATTGTCAAATATTGTTGCTTTGGATTCTGTTTGACGACATTTCGGAATCTAGTAAACTTTGTTGCCGGATTTTAGATAAGATTGGATGGATTAAATCATGTGGCGAAATTTTGAAGTGGCAAAGAGGAAATGATGAGCAACACGTGCCTTGTCATTGAGGTTGAATATTGCGATACACTATCGATTTTTTTATTGTCGTTTCATCAAATTTCTTGATGGATTGCGTAATTTGTTTTGAGTTTTGGCAGTTAAATTAAGAAAATTGCCTTGACAAGCCGTAAACATGTGTGGAATGGGATTGCTCGTGAACTGTGTAGAAAAGCCGACATTGTCGTGTAGAATGGGATTGCTCGTAAACTGTGTTGAAACTTCTCGTGCCTTGTGCGGACCAAAAGGGCAGGGTTCACACCTCCCATTTGTGAACGGAGACAATCATTGATGGTTGTCTTTTGACAAATCCGTACCAGGCGGAGGTGGGTCCAACATCGGCCACTGATGTTACCAAAAATCGCACATGTTGATTTCGAGCTTGGCGATTGAGAAAGAGCACGAACGAGGTCTTCCGGGTACCTGAAACGAAGGCGTCAAGGTGTATCCTCGTCGCTCCTCCAATATTTAAGTCAGAGAAAGAATAGAGAAATATGATATATACTGAAAAATATATGTGAAAACAAACCTGAATAATGATCTAAGGCCCCATATTTATAGAGTTAGGTAGTAGTCCACTCCTAATAGGACTCGTCATCCTTATTTTTAGGAATGACTTAAGTAGGAGTTAGTGTTGGATTAAAACTAAAAGTCTCACCTTACTTTACCTTAGAGTATGTTTCAAGATAGATTCCTTACAGCCCTAGGATTTCTTGAATATTGGTAATTGGGTAAGGTTAGAGTCCTTACGGGGTAAGGACTATCAACACTCGATCATACAGTACCTTGGGAAGTTAGATAAGGCAAATGCCCGACCACACAGCATGAGGACGACCAATGTAATCTTGTAGGTAGTCATGGGATCAATCATCGAGGTATCTTGAGGGCTATCACGCCCCGAGGACATGGGTCCCATAATTGAGAATGGGGAGCCCTGGCATTCCTCATGCTCGAGGTGCCCCATAATGACCACATCATTGGCCCCCGTGCAACCACTCCTAAAGCTCGAGAATTAGGTGTAGATGCACATGAGCTCGATCCCTCGTTACAGGCGAGTGGGAAGACTCCATGTGCGCAGGACAACTAGTGCCCAATGCATGGAAGATGTTTATTTACTTCTTCATAGTGTGTAGGTACCTGGGCATTACGCCATACCTCAACCTTTGTCGAATGGTGTTCGAGCTCAAGCAGCTCCCACAATTCACATGTTTTGCTTACCTTTCTACCCGAGGTGGGTTTAGGATCCCGACCTTACCTAGTTCCTTGAAGGGTTGGAAAGAGAAATGGTTTTATGGCTAATAGCCTCGAGCTTTCGGACTCTGAAGAGATCGGTGTCGAGGATGAGGGCGAGGACGACAATGTTGATATCGTGGCCTCTGATCAGGCCCTAAAGCACGAATGCACGATGATATAGATTAGGCCCCATTCCCCCGACCTTTTGTTTGCAACTTTTGTAATTTTTTGAGTTTTGATCATGTACATTGCCCGAGCATTGGGCCTTTATGTTTTTAATTTCTGTTAAGTACATTGTTCGACCCCAGTGATTTTGGATGTTATCTCGAGGTATATTGTCGCATGTCTTTGTCTTGATCTTTGAATAGTTAATAAGCATGATGACTAATTTAGTATTTAGGCTCGACAATAACACAATTAATGATCACGATGAACAAACAATTGATTGATTTATCGATCAAGTTTTGATCTTGACGACCATATGATTAATGATCATGTTTTGAGCTCGAGGACTACGTAATCAATTAGGTTTTTTACAGTCTTGAGATCGAGGTCTACGTAATCAATTGTAGTCTCGAGCTTGAGCGTTCTCCGAGGACTTCTTAATCCAAGATTGTATTTTTTGGAATGGTCGAGCTCGAGAACTACGTAATCGATTAAGTTTTTGACTAGGTCTTGAGATTGAGGACTACGTAATTAACTGTAGTCTCGAGCTCGGGCATTCTCCGAGGACTTTTTAATCCAAGATTGTATTTTTTGGAATGATCGAGCTCGAGGACTACGTAATCAATTGTAGTCTCGAGCATTCTCCGAGGATTTCTTAATTCGAGATTGTATTTTTTGGAATGGTCGAGCTCGAGGACTATGTAATCAATTAAGTTTTTGACAAGGTCTTGAGATCGAGGACTACGTAATCAACTGTAGTCTCGAGCTTGAGCATTCTCCGAGAACTTCTTAATCCAAGATTGTATTTTTTGGAATGGTCGACCTCGAGGACTACGTAATCAATTGTATTCTCGAGCTCAAGCATTCCCCGAGGAATTCTTAATCCAAGATCGTATTTTCTAGAATGGTCGAGCTCGACTACGTAATCAATTAAGTTTCAAAGTAACAAGCTCAACGATTTTACAATTAAGGATTGAGCTCGACGATAGCTTAGTTAATTAAGTTATTGAGCTCGATCATGACTCAATTAGCATTCATTTGCTCGATGGCTAGATCATTAATTTAATCTCAATGATCAGTTAATGGGTTATCTTTTTTATGAACTTCTAAACTCGAGGATAGGTTTAATGACTAAGTTATCATTTTGATAAAGCTCTAAGCTCGAGGATAGGTTCAATATGAGACAATCTCGAGCTCGAGCTATATTTGAGGACATATTTTCCAAGATTATGTTTCTAGGAATGGTCATGCTCGAGCATCCTTTGAAGTGCCTGCTCGTAGTAGGTTTTTTTTTTTTTTTTTTTTAAGCTCATGCTCGTAGCATATCTTTAAGGTGCCTGCTCATGACAGGTCTTTATGGTGGATGCTCGTGGCATGTTTTGAGATGTACACTCACGTCATGCCATGAGGTACCTGCTCGTAGCATGTCTCGGAGGTGCCTGCTCGTGATAGGTCTTTAGGGAAAAACACTTAAAAAAATAATTTTGTTGGGACATTCCCAACGGTTACTTCATGTAAGCTTTCCTATGCTCTAAACAAGTATAGACTTGCATGCCTTGCTGAATGAACCACTAAAAAGAAAAATGTGGGGGGCATGTACGCCCGATGAAAAATTAACTAACTATGAACCAGAAAAATGCATAGGGCATGCAAACCCAAATATAATGGGGATTACTACTTGTAATAAACTTTGAGGTCGTCAGCATTCCAAGGCCTTAGCAGTGGTCTTCTCGACATATCCCTCAAGCTATGATATTGATTGTACCAGCCGTGCATTTGTTACATCCCCCCAAGCCTGAGGTCTTCCCTTTGTCATGATCATTCATTGGACGCTTATCGTGCCCAACATACTTCTTCAAGAATCCTTTTCTAATCAGGGCCTCAATCTCCCGCTGCAATCTTATACACTCTTCGATTGTATACCCATGGTCCCTGTGGAAGTCACAATATTTGCTCTTGTCCCTGGTCTCCGGAGGAGATAGCAACCTAGGAGGCCATTTAAGCTCCTTAATATCCCTAATCTTCATCGGTATGTTGGACTTAGAGGTATTCAAATAGGTGAATGGCCTAGGTGGTCCTTCCTGATTCTACTTGTCTCGAGCTCGATCTTGTCGCAAGTTCGGCTCATGCTGTCTCTTAAGTTGGGGCTTCTCAAAGCTCAGACTAGCCTTCATTACCTTCTCCATATTGATGTATTTTTCTCCTCGGGTAAAAAACTCAGTCACTGACTTTAGGGGCATCTTGGATAAAGACATCCTGAAGGCTTCACACCTCAATGTGAAGATCGGGTATCTGTAGCCTTTATTTATTGGATATCATCATGAAGTTACGTAAGGTCTCATTCGGGCCCTGGCGAAGCTGCATGAGGGTGGCTAATGTCTTCCTGGTGCGCTTACTACTTGCAAAGAAGGCTAAGAACTTGTCAGAGGATGACAATATAGAGTTAGGTTCCAATGTGGCGAACCATTCCCTGGCAGCATTGGTCAATGTCCGAGGAAAGGCCTTACACATTACTTGGTCTGCGCAACCTGTAGGTTCATGACATCTGTGTAAACATTAAGATAGTTGATGGGGTCGGTGGTCCCATCGTCCTCCTTTA